CCCTAAGCACACAGCAAGAGTGGCTTATAGACAACTGTGTGAATGTCCTTGAGTGTCCCAGCCACAGCCTGGGATTGAACCCAATCAAATATTTCTGGAGAAACCTGAAAATGTGCACCTGCCACCAACCAACCTGACAGAGCTTGAGAGGTGAAGAGGTGAGGAGAAGAATGGCAGATAATTGCCAAATGATGATGATCAAAGCTTGTCGCATCATACACAAAAAGATTTGAGGCTGTAAAGGTGCTTCAGCTAAGTACTGAGTTAAGGGTTTGAATACTTATGCAATGTACTTATTTCAGTTTTTACAGTTAAGTTGTGACAGTTCAGTTTTTGGTTTGCCATTATGGTGTATGAAGTGTAGATTGGTGTGGATAAAAAGTAATTTAAAGCAGTTTAACATAAGGCAGCAACATAACAAAACATGAAAAAAATGAAGGGGTGTGAATACTTTCGCAAGGCACTGTATATACAATATGTATATACACACACATAACATAAAATTATTAGTTTTCAATATATATTTTTTTGTTGTTTTATATATATATATATATAAGGGGTGTGAATACTTTCGCAAGGCACTGTATATACAGTATGTATATACACACACATAACATAAAATTATTGGTTTTCAATATATATATTTTTGTTGTTTTATATATATATATATATATATATACATATTTACTACTAATATATGTTTTTAAAATAATTTGTAAATGTATGTTTTTGAAATAACCTTTTTTTTCACACTTTCTTTAAGTTATATTTCAGACCAAGCCTCAGTGTGTCTGACAGAGACAGTTGTTCCCAAACGGTCCAGCCCACAGAAACTTCTAGCAACACTTGACTGTCCTCAGCTCACTCAGGTGCATGGAGTCAGAAACATCTTGGTCAGAGATCACTGAATAACCTTCACTTCATCTAATCATTGCAAACATCTACATTCTTAAAACATTGAAAACTGCACTGCGACTTCAGTATTTCAGTTTGAGGGCAGAATGTGTTTGAATTAACCTACGCAATACAAGCTTGATGCTTTTCGAGGTACTTAACCCAGTTAGCATGTGCTTGTAGATCTATGCCAATCGATAAATGGAAAAACAAAATAGTTAATTTTCATCATTGGTGGCTCTCAGTTTTCTAATTAACCAAACCCACAGTGTTTAGTTTCAAAACGAAAAACTATGAAAACACCTGTCAAAGTGGAGCAGGTACTTTCTGTGTTCATATTCTAGTTTACACATGAACAAAAAGCCATTATTTTATTCCACTACAACATCTCAAACTATATTAAAACCATTGCATCCTTGAGCTTTATATTTCATATAATGTTATGACTTAAAATGTGACACAATTTACCATACTTCACCCAATTCAGCATTATCACCTATCTTTATAAATGAACATTTACAGACACACGCAGACGTTTAAGTGTTTAAAGCAGTCACATTTATTGGCCTCTTCTATGCACATTTACTAAACAGCCAGACAAGCTGGCAAACGGTTTTAGAGACATTTTACAATGGGACTTTCCACAAAGTTTACTAAAAAATAAATACAAGACTCAAAGTGTTGCACAAATCAAAAATATACAAAAGCTTATAATTAATGTAAACTTTTAAAACATTTTACATAAGAAACACCCTGGAAACGATTTTAAAAGGTATTCTATTTACAAATTTGTACAAAAAAAAAAAAAATTTTTAGTTGCTTGAAGACTTCAGTCTAGTACCAGAAGAGACATCACGTAACTGTGTGTTCAGTACAGCAAGTGTTTGTCCAACTCTGAAATCCTTTGGTACACAAATCTTTGCATGTTACCATCCATTCACCAAGCATGCTTTAACTTTAACAATATGAGATTTCAATTCATAATTGCTTTTGCTATGTGTTAACTATTCCTGTTTAAATAGCCTTAGGTACAGCAATAGACAATGTGAAAACCTTCACAAACATACTAAACATCAGTGCAAATTTTAAGGTTAGACTTTACAATGTTGGAATGGTAGCTTACAAAATCGTTTACCTCTGTCTTGGAGATGGATAGTGAAAGTCTTCACCTCCTTTTAGATTCGCAAAAAAAATTAATATTGCTCAGGTTTGTAAATGTGTGTGTTTCCCCTTTGTGTATCATCAAAGCTAGTTAGTTGTTAGTGATCAAATAGTTGAGGACAGCTCAAATACCTGGCCCTGTAAATGATCCAAAGACTAAATCTCAACAAGCAAGGTAAATTGCAAACACACCAGAAGGTCAATGGTACAAAGGAGAGAAATGCCAAATATGTTACTGGACACCAAAGGATCGTTAACAGAGTAGCTTATGCTATTCATATATTTTATGTTATTTATAAGTGGTTTTATTTTCTGCATTAAATTCGTCTGTCTTTTAAAACCAGTGTTTTCCCACTAAAGCTTTACCTCTGAAAAGAAAAACATAAGTCCATAAATCCATAAATAAATCTGCAGTCATAAATTTATCAAAGCCCAATATTTCATAAAAGCCAGCTAGATACTAATAATCCTTTCGCTTTAATACCAAAATGAAAAACATGAGGTGGCTCTTGGAAACTGATTTAAAAAAAGAAGCCGAGAAAAACGATAACCAAAAGAGTAGTGCAAGTCCATGTTTTTTCATCTGTCCTTTGCAACCTTTTTTTACAACCTCTTTCCTTTGCATCCTTTTCAGCACATCCTCAACACACACAGATTTATTTGTTGCTCCAGCAAAAGAAAGTCTTTATATAACTATCAAGATGCAAACCCTCTTACTTCAGACTTGCTCTGTCTCTCAATCTGACTTGACACTACATCTCTGTAGTCTTTCTTTGGATATTTTACTGTCTGTGCTACAAACAGCAACAGCATTGAGAAAAGAATATGTTTTCCATCAGTTTTAAGGACTATACCCAACGTTAAGTCCTTCTCGTAACTTTCCTCATTGCCCTATCAACATCGCAAATTCAAACCCAAAGCAACACAAACTGCAAAAGCCTCCTGACCAAAAGCACTTCCACGACACACTTCTAAAATCTTCTACTTATCCTTCTACAATATTATTCTGCCATAGTCTGTTTACTACATATAAATGTTTTTGAAAAAGATTGTCAAGAGTGTTTCAATCTGATTTTTGACCAGAAACAGCTCATGGCCTCACAGATCTGACATCTTGGTGAGGCAAATTCCTTGATACGCTTAAAAAATGATGTACCAATATTGGCTCCTCTCTTAAGTTTTATTGCATGCAGTTAATTTGATCTATTAACGTGAAATATATAAAAGCTACAACTACTGCGGTAGAGGCTTAATTTCAAGTTGGCTGTAAAATGCTTGCACAGTATTAGTCCTGCTGTGTGGGTCAGTGATCAATAACAAAAAATCACTTCACAATGAGCAAAATCATTAATATATCAGAAACGACTGGTACAGTATTCACAGAATACATCTAGTGCCCGTGTTGTAGCTGTTGTTGTTTTTCTTAGATCAATTTATTGATATAGAAACAATGGGTTGATTTCTTTTTAAAGAAATGTGCTTAAAAAAAGCTAAACATTGAATGAAAGGGAAGAATCATGTGGTCATTAATTGCATCATTGCTTTAAAATTATTAGATGTCGCATTAAAAAGCTCAATATCTTAAAAATGCCAAATAAGGACACAATTTGCCAGAGTCTACTACTTTCTTAAGCTAATCTCGTTAAAAATACTTATTTAAAAAAAAAAAAGCATATTCTATATATAAATATTTATTTTCATGTCACTTTTTCTTTTGTGCCATTTTTGTAAGAATTCTCTAAAATTTCTGACATTTTCTCAGTACCAAAAGGAGTGCAAAATAGTGGTTGGCCATCAGAATATTCCAACACAGCTACATTTCTTGCCCAGTAAGATCCAGTTGCGGGCTAACTCAAAAGTTCTTAGCCCATTTATGCTACAGCTATATACAAAAGGCCACTCTTTGATTGTCCCAAGCCGTCTGACATAATCAGTTTGTGTTTAAGGTACAAGAAAGATTTTCCCTTCTTTTAACACCATCTGGACCCATTTTCACAGGTACCCTAGTACAGTACTGTTTTTATCTTTCTAGACTATGCTAAATGTGTGTGACAATAAGCATCCGCAATTGATTCACTGTGAATAATTACAAAGTGATGGATTTTTATCATGTAGTTTTCTCCACTCTCATTCTAAAATAAAAGATACACAAACAAAGGATACACCTAAAATAAATATGCTCATGGAAGTTATTAGAACACCGCTACTGAAAATCATTATCTGAATGTTTTGATCTTCTTGATACAAAAGAGTACAGACACTACATAGTTTTGTCTACGGTTCACGGTCTTCTTAAGAACAGAATTGAGTATGCCAAGTGCCCAGCATTATTGACTTGATGTCAAAGATTGTGTATAGACTGATGCTAAAAGTCAAAGATTCATTTTTCAGGAGAAACGGTCATCGTGTGGGCTTCCATCTGAGTTTTCTGTTTCCCCTTCTGATATGGCCTGCATGGGTGCAGTGTACAGCCGACTGCGTGTACTGTAGCGGCTGCTATTTGCAGCTGGTGGCATCCTTGACCGGCCTTGTCTAGTTGAGGCAGATGTGGGAATTGACAACGATCTGTAAGGATCATTGGATTTCAAGTCATTAAGAAGCCAGAGATCTGCATAGTCTGACTGGACAGCTCCCTCATCCTTGAAGGAATGCGTTTCTGTGGAGCCAAACAAAGCAACTTCTGGAATCTCTGTAGAACTCTCAACACCCCAAGCCCCCAGTGGCTCCTCACTCTCCAGCTGACTCGAGGAGCCTCTGTCTAACCCCACATGCTGTGTTCTCTCACCGGAAGACATAGATTTTTTCTGACCACCAGCAATCTTTGGTTCGTTCTTGTCAGATGGAGGTCCAACATGGCTGCTTATTTTCTTCAAGGATGAGCTGCGTTTTGGTGGGAATGGCTTGACCTTTGGTTTCCTTAGAGAGAGACTACATCTACCAAGTGTGTTTGTTTGATGTCCATATTCTGCCTGCTGCTGGTCTACAGATGCATAGTTAAACGTGAAGCTTTTGCTACCTTTAAGACCACAGTCAAAGTGCATGGAGGTATAGTAGCCCTCGGCATCTACAGAAAAATGTGAGGTGGTGTCAGCCTTTTCAGAAGGTGGCTTATCTGTTAAACTTTCAAAAGTGGCTATGCTAGCAAAACTGGGACATTCTAGGATATTCTCTGCCCTAGAGTGCTCATGACTGAAGTCGGGGTGGCAAGACATGTTGTGCCTGTAGTGTGGATAGCTCCACTCACCCTCACTAGCAGTGCTGACTCCCGCATCATCAAGCATGTCAGTCGCAGTGGAAGTGAATGAACCTGTCCTATGGCTACGAAGGCCTTGTGATCGGTCTCCAGGATATGGACCAATAATGAAGCCTGTGGAATCATCATTAGTATTGGTAGTTGCATTCAACGATAGTTCTGAATCACAGTAGGATGATCCGGTGAGTGGGGGTGAGGCTGCAGGTGGAATGGTCTCTGATGTCTGGGAGGGACATGTAGAACTACTGCCACTCCAATTGCCGCTTGAGGACTGGTGATCCTCCTTGTGGTCCATCTGGCTAGTCAGCACGCCAGCATTGGAAACGGAGTGAATGGGGCTACTGAACGTATCAGAACTGGAAGAAATCTCACAGCTACCCATGTCAGCTTTCCGAGGCAGATGGGATCGACCCCTCTCCATCCAGTCATGCTCTGTACATCCAGCATGCTGCTTGAATTTCAAACTGTTATGCTGGCCCTCTGGGATTGCCTGGTCATCAGTGCTTTCTTCATCATCTTTTAGAATATGTTCCCCTGGGACTGGTAGGAAGTCCTCTGACTCAAACGGGGACAGTTCTTCCTCCTCATCATCCTCATCACTGACATCATGACCTTCGTCCACCAGTCGCCCTCCCTCACGCGGGAGACTTCGGGAACGCAGACGGGAGCCTACTGAGGCAGTGAACATTGTGTCAGAGTTGTCAGGCAGAGAAGATATGTTGCCCGTGGAATGGGACAGTGACACAGTCACGCCCTGCCCCCTTTGTGCTCTGATCCATCTACGTGAGGGTGCAGCCCCAACAATCAGGAATTCTTCTGTCTGGCAACCAGAGTCCTTGGTGTTGAGACGAGAGAGCATGAGATCCTCTTGGCAAATTTCAGGGTTGGTGTGGACTATCACGGTACGTTCTCTGGCCACTGGAGACTCGTCAGAATCTAAAAAGTGATGAAAGATTTTTTCAGTAATAAATTAATGTTTTATTCATGCCGTTACTCTTATTATATGATTGTTCTATACTGTGGATAAACAAGTAATGAAAACCTAAAGAGTAATAGGAGAATGTTACAGCTTCACACACCAAAATCCTGCTGCACTCGTCTGGGAATGCCAGTGATCGTTTTCCGTCTCCTTAGTTTCCTTCGCCGTTGAAGCACTGATTGCGAATGGACTAGTGAGCAGCGCACACTGGCCTCTCTGTCGAACCCAACCCCTGCAAAGAGCACCAGACATGTGAGAGGCTGTTGGGTGCAAGACACTTTTTTCTACTTATCCCTCCCATGTTTCTCACACTCATAAACCACTGAGATTGTCATGCTAAATATATTTTAGTCATGATAATTGTATGTTCTTTTAATGAGAATGTTTCTGAATTAAAAAAATAATTTATTTAAATATTATTTAGCAATATTATATATACAGTATTTAAAAATATTGAAAGTTTTATATATTTACTATAATATTTTACAGTATATAACAGTACTTTCACATATCACATATAAAAAAAGTCGGACTTTCTACACAAGTTATGCATCATTATACAAGGTTAACAACACATCTCAGAAGAAAAAAAATGCACGTATTATAAAATAATAAATGCAACAAAAAAATATGGTTTCCAATCACGTTAAAATATTTTAATTGACACAAAAATACATTGGACAGTACGCAATGTCATGCACGGTGAAAGGAGCAACAGATTCAAGACGTCAGAATGGAAAACAAAACAGGGTTGAAAATGGTAGTATAACAGTCCTACCCAACCCCAGCCTTACTCTCTATACTGCAGTCTGCTGTTGTACTCTTGATATGAAGCTCTATTTGTTTTGAGGTTTGTCCAGTGTCATGCATCATGACTCTCATGTGATTGCAGTCTTGGCCCTTTGAGCACCAATTACACCACTGTGCCAGTGATGTGCAATTTCCAGTCAACACTGTCTTTGACTCAATCCTTGCTGTCACGCACCTCAAAAGTCCCGTTCCAGTCAAGCCTGGAGTAGATACAGTGGGTACGGAAAGTATTCAGACCCCCTTAAATTTTAGGAAAAAAAAATAACAAATGATTTTAGCAAATGGCTGCAATATAACAAAGAGTGAAAAATTTAAGGGGGTCTGAATACTTTCCGTACCCACTGTATATTTGGCTCTTTGTAATTCTAATACAACTGATTAGCATGCACAAAACGCTTTCTTGACTCTTTGCATTTCTTGGCACAAAATAAGTTACCACGACAACTAAGAACTTTTTTTGTTTCAAATTTCATGACTTGCAGATTTTAACCTACTTTCCAGTGTGTCTAATGCTGTTATTATTCTAACGTATTTGGGTGATTCTTCAGTTTGGGACCGTCTGACAACTAGAAAAATGAAACTTCTCAAAACAATGTTTCATCTATGTTAAAACATTAATCACATGTCATGGAATAAAGAGGATCTGATCATGGCCTTATTCAAACTTCAACTAACAGCAATAAACAGAGGAGCAGCCCAAGCTTTTTTTTTGCATATGAGGATACGCTCTCTGTCTGTCAAGCATTTTGCTGACGTGTTTTGTGGAAGTTAGTGAAACGTCTAAAAGTCTAAAATGGCAGAAGTCTAAAGCAATCATAATCTACCATATATGTTTCAGGATTACTAACTGTTCATTTTTTAAGTTAGTAGCCACTTAGTGCTGACTTATAGTAGCATGGGCTAGTGATGTGAATATCGAATATCATGAATATCATTTTCATTAAATTAGGAAGCTACAACAGCCAAAATGAGAGTGTTAATATGGTTGAGATGGCAACCCCTTCTCTCTCTCTTCGCACGTTATTCTAGATGGTGATGGTTAGGGAATGAAGTGGCACTGATACTGAAGGGGGGAACTTAATGGACATGTAAAAGATCTCTCACTTAGGAAAGCTGATATCGCTGAGGGGGAAGTAGCGTTGGCGCCCTCCTCTGAAAACAATACACGCAAAATTCAGCGTTCTCACAAGGTAATCCTTCTGTTCATTGATGCCAGAGGAGAACTTTGGTCAAGATGTTGATGCTCTCAATTAGATTGTTATGAGATGTAATATAGACTGTTCAGAAACACTTTATAAAAACTTTCATTAATAAATCATTAACAAACAATATAGAATGATTAACAGGTCATTAGTTAATATATATTCACATAGCTAGAAATATGAGCTAATGTGTTTGTTAATGTTTAGTAATGAACATTAAATATTACCTAATGATTAACAGATCATTATATCATGTAAATATAAATATAAACAAAATGTTATCATATAAACAGCTTGAACAGGGTTCCCGCATAGTAATCAAATTGATCTCTGTACACTGTTGACCCCTTAACCAACCCTTAAACCTACCCATACCACCAAACCTGTCCCTAACCTCACCCGTAACACACCTCTAAAGTGTTGTACATTAACAAAAGCTTTTTAAGGGGTCATGAACTGCTTCCACTGTTTTTTTTTATTTTGTACTATTTTCAAGTGGGGTCCACTTACAGTGTTATAAAGATTTTTTTAAATCAAAATATGTCATAATTTAGAAGTAATAGGCTATTTTCTGTCCTGTTTTGACCCCCTCATTGGAACGCTCTGTTTGAATAGGTGTGGTGGATTGTAGACTTGGAAGTAAAAGCCCACTGCTGATTACTGTCGGATCCAATATGCTCCACACAGCATCATCTTTTAGTTTAAATCTTTCTGAAAATCCTGTGTCAAATTGCGCCTTGTTTATAAACTAATCCGTGGTAAAATGAAGTGAACAAACGACCAAGGTCTTACTGATGCGATCTTGAACTTCATTAAAAATAAAGTTCATCCACTCTTTCCTAATGTTGAGATCAGAAGGAACTTGGCACTGCAAAACATTTCTGGTTTGGTTTCTACATAGACCTGCGTTTGCCTCTCTAGTTATTTACACTACGGGTGCGAATCGGTGGGCGGAGCTAAACAGGCAGTGATGTAGAAGCAGGCGTTGATCTTCTGCGGAGGCAGTGTTTAGCCACACTATCACGTGACACATTCCACAACCTGACGTTTGGCAGACTGGCTTCAATATAAGCTGTTTTTAGAATAATGAGAAAGTTTTGAGTTCTGAAACCTACAGGATGTTTTTATAGTACAATGACCTCTTACATGTATGATTTCTCAGTTCATGACCCCTTTAATCATTGTATAACACCTGTTAAAATCATTTGTAGATTTTCAAGATGTGCACGATCGTATGAATTCAAAGTTTGCTGACATTTGTAAGCATTTTAATTTACATGAAATAATGATCTGTTAATCATTAGGTAATGTTCAATAAGTTCATTAGTAAACATTAACAAGCACATTATCTCACATTTCTAGCTATTTGAATATCTATTAACTAATGATTTGTAAAGCATTATACAATGTATGTTAATGATTTATTAATTAAAGTTATTATTATAAAGTGTTACCCACTGTTCCTGCAGAAAACTATCATAGCAAAATATGAAAGCCAATATCTTGTCATTTCTAGTGCAGGAATTCTAAAGGTTGAAATAGCTAATGCTAAACATTTGAGGTCAACAATTTGGGTTTTTTAAATGGCAGATGTTGAGGGCCGATGATAAGAACATTTAATAGTATGTGAAATACACAAAATACCTAAAATGTGACCCTGAATCACAAAACCAGTCTTAAAGGGATAGTTCATCCAAAAATAAAAATGTGATGTTTATCTGCTTACCCCCAGGGCATCCAAGATGTAGGTGACTTTGTTTCTTCAGTAGAACACAAATTATGATTTTTAAGTCCAACCGTTGCAGTCTATCAGTCGTATAATGCATGGCAATGGTAACAAAATCTATGAGAGTAAAAAAAACATGCACAGACAAATCCAAATTAAACCCTGCGGCTCGTGACGACACATTGATGTCCTAAGACATGAAACGATCGGTTTGTGCCAGAAACCGAACAGTATTTATATCATATTTTACCTCTGATTCACCGCAATTTCCAACTACGCCAGAGCGATGGACCCTTATGACTGGTTTTGTGGTCCAGGGTCACAAATGTATTTATAAAAAATAAAAAACAAAATGCACTAATTGTTATGTTTAGGAACTACTACTACTACAGTTGTTTGTCAATGCCAAAAATGAATTGGCACAAAAGCTCTTGGCATTATCTGTTAAGAGTCCCTTACAGTGTAAAAAATGTGAAATAAAACGAAGATTATTGGAGAATGTTTTACTAGAAAATACTATTTCAGTGTTTCCACTTCAAAAGTTCAGAGTGTTACTTGCCATTTCTTTGCAATTTTTTTTGTGAAATTTACTAGCAATTTATGAGGAAAAATTGTTTCTACCAATTTTTTTACAGACTTACAACAACACTATGCTAATGGACCAAAGTTCTCCTTCAGTAGTGACAGCGTCACCAGACTTGAGCCCAATAGTATGTAGTTGAGCAATACTAAAATGAATGTAGCCTTTAATTTTCCTTATAATAATAAAAATGTATTTGACAAAAAAACATTATATATGCTATGAACTACCATTTAAGTGTCATACTCAGTCCTGACTCAGCATGCATTATCAACAGCAAACACTGGGGGCTTTTACCTGTTACGTTAATGGGAACGATGCATGAGGTGATGACTTGAGAGTCCGTCTTCATCTTCTCTTCTGGGGTGGGCAGTGGTAAGAGTCCAGCCCAGTTGGTCTGTTTGTCCAGCGTTGAGGGCTCGTTTGGGATCGGGCACCTCGGCCAGTGGCCCAGAGCCACCACCTCTGAATCTGAATCCACTGGAGGAGCAACCTAGAACATGATTATGGTGAAGAATATGAGGTTAGTGAGGTTGGGAAAACTCTTATAGATGTATCTAACAAATCAATAATGGTTTCACTTGCTTTCATTTTTAAAACTCCATGAATTCACTTGATAAGTGCGGTTTATCCTTCTAAATTGATTTATTTCCAATTAAAACAGGAAGTCGGGCCTTTTATCATATAAATAGCCGATGGTCTTTGTTTACGTCACTGTCATGATTTGCTAGGGATTTTTGCTAGTCAGTGGTTACAGCAAATGGACTAAAATTTGAGAATGTCATAATTGCTTTTGGTCCATTTTTCCTGGAAAAGAAGACTAAATTTTCAATGCTTATGTGTGCTTAAAGTTAACTTTTAGCAGTGCACTTGCATACAGTATACTGTTGATGACTTCAGTGTTAAGAGACATGGATTAAAACCCACAAAAATCAATTTTGATTTCATGAGGTCTGTGGAAAAAGTGGAACAACATACTTAAAATTGGAGAACATTTACATTTTTAGTTGTAAAAGCTACATGCACATGCATAAAGAAGCATTGAAACATGCAAAGCAAATGACAATGGAGATGCATTAGTGTACAATAAGGAAAAAAAAGTTATAAGAAATGAAACAAAAGCATATCTACATGAAGCAAACAACACAATGCAAGTTCAATTCCTACTTTTCAGCTGTCACCCATTGCACCAGATGAAGTACACTTGCTAAATCCTGTCAGATAGTTAGCAGTTAATCTAATCAGTTAACTTACCTTGTGGAGTTTAAAGAGTGTTAACTAAAAAGGTTTGGAGTGTTTAGTGGCTGTCACCCAGCCACATATGAACATGCACAGTGTTAAAGTGAGCTGTGATGTTGAGTCTTTGTGTGTCCCTTTCCCAGCCAGCCAATGAGGATCCCACAATAAACAGCAGCCAAAAAAAATGTGTTACCACGGAAACTTCTCCAAAAACCAGAGGAGGACAAAAAGAAAGAGTGAAGCACCACAAAAACAGACGGACAGAATCAAAGGGAGTTTATGACCGTTTTGTTTGCCCGTGCTGAAATGAGGGGCAAGGGGTGAAGTGGAGTTTTGGAAAACACGGGATCAAAGCAGAAGGAAAAAAAAAAGTGTATGGAGCCAAAATGAGCAGGAGAGGAGGGGGCTGGGAAAGAGCCAAATGTGACGGTTTGATTTCTCCATCTGGCTCTTGTTCAAAAGCTATTTTGATTAGCAAAGAAACGAGACATCAGGGGAATGAAAGAATGCCATTCATGAAGTTCTACAGCAGAAACAGAGAAACAGATCGTAAAGGAGCATGAGGAAACAGGAGAAAGTGAAAGTTATAGTATGTCTACAAGACCTGTGTCTAGGGTCCAAAATATAACTTTTGTCAATCTTGCAATAGTAAGTGATTAAAAAAAATAAAATAAAAATGAAAATAAATAAAAAATTACAAAATAAAACAATAATAATAATAATAATAATAGCACTTCATATATTAAGGGTTAATTTGTTAACATCAGTTAACTAAATTATTTAACATGAACTAATAATGAAAAATGCATCTGTTCACATTAATGTACTAAAAACTATCAAAACATAATACAATACATAATTAATAATAAATTTGAAAAAGTGTAATAAATGCTCTCTCTCTCTCTCTCTCTCTCTATATATATATATATATATTACAATATATGGGACAAGCCAGTATGTAACAAAAATATTAACCATTATGATTTTGTTCCTCATATTTTCATTACTATGGCTTAATGTGAGGAATATCCCATCTATTAAATTATTATGTGTCGCTAAATTGATTTCTGGAGGAAAGTGGAAAACATCTTGTGGTAAACTCACTGATTACAAAAACGTACACATCACAGCTGGTAACTTTAAAAGAAACAAAGATCATTTTTGTTTTACATTAATTTTGGACCCTGTATATGCCCTAAAATGGATCAGAGAAGACAGACAACAGCAAGTGTGAGTTGAAGAGAATATTTCGAAAGGGAACTCATGACAGAGAGTGTCTGTTCGTGTGTTCACTCTCTAAAGCATCTATCTTGTAGTCAGGCACTCAGGCAGGGGTTTGTGAGTAAGCCACAGTGCCGGGAGTTGATGGTCAATTATATTTTTTTTGCCACAGACACACACACACGCACATGCCACAGACACACACACACACACACACACACACACACACACAGACAGAGTCAGACAGCGGCTCTACCCTGGAAACCCTGTCATTAGGAAACCTCAGACTTGCGCACTTCTGTGTGTGTGAGTTTCCCATAGACATTCCTTACAGAGTATTTCAGGAGCTTAATGCTGGAGAGGCTATGAGAAGGGCAGTGTTTTATTAGTCTGTGCAAGTGTTGATTTATAGCATTACCAGTGTCAGAAACGAGGCCAAAGATAATGAAGATAATTCAAAGTGACTTGGATTTGCAAAATCATGGAAACTAATTTCCATATGTTATTAACAAAAAACACACTACTGATCAAATGTTTGGTGTCTGTATACTTTTTTAAATGTTTCTAAAAGAAGTCTCTTATGTTCACCAAGGCGACATTTATTTGACCAAAAATAAAGTAAAAACAGTAATATCGTGAAATATTATAACAACTTAAAATAACTGTTTTCTATTTGAATATATTTTAAAATATGAATTAAATAGTAATTTATTCTTGTGATGCAACGTTTTTCAGGATTCTATTGTGAATAGAAGGATAGTCAATAAAAATGGTGATTTTTGAATGTTAGTGTATGCTCTTCTAAAGGTCAAAAATGCCCCTGAAAATCGGTTCACACACATTTTCCATCATTCAGATTTGCACGCATGCACAGATCATCATTTTGATGTTGGCATATCCAGATGAAAGTTGAGATGAACTGTAGATGTTAGAAGGTAATAATAGCATCAGAAGAGAAGTTTTAAAGAATTCTAGATGTTAGACGAACACAAAAGAGCCCTGTTAAGATTTGGTTCACTTTCAGAATCTGATTAAACGTTTATAATAAAACTCATAAACATTAAATAACTTTAACACTGACATGTCTTGAAGATTCTACCAAACCAAATCTTATGAAAGACTTTCTGATAAACCACTGATTTGGAAGCGGTTTCGGCCTCATCCCATGATTAGGGATGTAAAACTGTTTCCAAATCAGTGTGAATGTAGGATTTAGGAGACGTTTGGGGGTAAAATACCTTTCTGCTCCACGGGGAAAAATGACAACACTCAGTAGGGGAGGAGGACCGGGTGCTTTGGAACTACAACACATACAAACACAAAGATGGACATGAATATGAGGATGAACATGAACATGAACACAATGAGGGTGCATCTGCTTTCATATTGGAACTGGAAGAACAAACTGAAAGAACAGCCGTGATTCACTGTGCTTGTCAAAACACAATGAGATAATAAAGATTTAGGTGATTATATATAATTAAGAAGTCGTCCTCAATTCTGCATCACTGAAACATTTACAACACCCAATTCACATACAGAGTTATTATGGATTATGAACTGACATTTTGGCCAAAAGTGACGATTTAAAGTTAAAATGCTTTAATGTTGGATTTTTTTTCTTACAAATACACAGCTTTTCACAAGATGTTCATTGATGGACTGGAGTGGTGTGGATTATTGTGATGTTTTTATCAGCTGTTTGGACTCTCATTCTGACGGCACCCATTCAGATCCAATGGTGAGCAAGTGATGCAATGCTGCATTCTCAGGCCTGTCTTCTAATGAGGAAACAAACTCATCTACATCTTGGATGGCCTGGGGGTGAGTACATTTCCAGCAAATTTTCATTTTTGGGTGAACTATTCCTTTAAATCACGGTGTACTATGTAAAGATATATAATCCAGTGCAACTGAATGAACTCCTGTCAGCAACCCATGAACATCCTGAAATAAATAGCGTTATTATAGGAGGTTTAACAAAGAAATGAAGGTTGTTTGTCCACATGGCCGCATGGTTGGCTGCAAAAGAGGAGTTATTTTCATAATGACCAACCTGGCACAAATAAGTAAGTGCTTAATGTCTTAAAGCACGACATCCAGAGAGACACTCCCTGTTTTTTAAGATCAGCTGGATCAAAATAATCATTAAATAATCATTCTACTGAAATGACTACTTATGCAAAGGTAAAGAAAAAAAAAAGAAAGAAACTGGCAACCTGGCTAATATAGCTGTTTACCTGCATCTGCTTTATTCACAATGAATCACAGATACAAACTATGAGACTGAAAATGAATAAATAATCTAAAACATTTATGAACATCAATGCAAAGAAAATAAAAAATCATTTATAAATTACTGTAAAGTGTACATGCATGTTGATAACATGCTTTGCATGGTATGACCCTTGTGAAAAAGAAGTCTGCTTTATTGTATCGAATGTGCACTTGTAGTGTAAAATCCTAAACGTATATTTTTAAGCAGACGATACTATAATATTAATGAAATAAAAGTGTACTTATAATAAGTGTACTTAAAGACTACACTTTTATATATTTCTTAAAACACTTGAGTACTTTTAAAAATGGCACTTTCGAATAGTCAAATGAAACATTTAAATTAAAGCACATTTTAAACCTTTTATGTTTTAATAATCTTTTTATGGTAACACATTAGATTAGGGACCAATTCTCACTACTATCTATTTGCTTATTAGCATGCATTTTACTAGTATACTGGCAGTTTATTAGTACATATAAACAAATATTCTGCATCCCAAATCATACCCAATACCTAAACCTAACAACTACCTTACTAACTAAAATCAAAATTCATCATGTGAAAACCATGGACATTGAGTTATTTTTGGTATAGCGCCTAAACAAAATCTCAAAGGAACCTCAATTTTTGTGATATCAACTTCAAATTTGGAACATAACTTAGTTAGACACACACCTTTGATTTTATAGCAATTTTTAGATTCCAAAATATTTTGTAAAAAAATTATTTTATATAAAAGTACAGTACATTTTCTTTACAGTAAACTTAAACTTCTTTAAAAGAATATTTTTTTTTTTTTACACTTTTTTACACTTTTTTTTTTGAAATGCCAACCTTAGGTCTGTCTTCCAAAGCATTCATGAATTACATCCATTTAAGTTTGTGCATTTTCATGTCTATGTTCAGAAAGGGGGGTGACAGTTAAGAGATTAAAGTTAACATAATAATTACATTTAAATGTACTAAATTGCAATTTCATTAAATATATATGTGTCCAAAAACATTCCATTCAGTTTGCACATAAGTATATGCTTTTAAAGAATATTATTTGTGTAATAAGTACTTTTTTGAAAAGTGTGCTAAAGTGTACTACTTTTTCACAAGGCAAAAATACAAAAATAAAGGACAACAAGGATGGATTCATTCAGCTAAAGTCAAAGATCTCCATGCAGTGCAGCGGGTCAGACGAGGTTCGGTGTGACACACAGGCGTGTGTTTACCTGTGCTTGTGTTGTCTGAGTTTCTATGTCTCTGTCTGTCCTTTCCTAAACACATAGACACACTCTGTCACAACAGACACAATCAGCAACACTCCGTCTACAAGAAATCACTCTAGATCAGAGCTCCAATAACACACATTGTGCAGGCAGACAGGCAGATGTTTACCGTGGTGAGGTGTCTCTCTCTCTGCTGGCGTCTGCAGTGCACCCGGGGCGAAGGGTAGGTGGGCATGGACGGAGCCATGGAGATGGAAATGGTCACCCTGCGCTCTCTCTCGCTGACCTCCTGCCTCTGCTGCTGGTCTGATGAGCAGTTTCACACACAATAGACAAATCCATCAGTCCTTTCTATCAACTAGACACAGGTGTTTAGGAATAAATCATGTCTGGAGCACAAACAGTGCTGGACGAGTTACACTGAAGTTTAACACTTACTGTTGGGGTTTGTTCAAAACACTAACCTTAACTAAGAGTAATATAATAACAGTGATGCTTGCAAGCACCACTAGCACAAATAGCATAGTGTGAGTTATATGAAATCATCGTAATAATAATAAATCAGAATAATGATGTTTCTATTTGTCCTTCTTTCAATTGTTTTACTTTTGGTTCTTTTTGGTTTTGGTTTTACATTTTGACATTTTTAATTGATATGTAAAGTGCAGATTTAAAGATTTAATGTATCATAGCATGTGGATCATTTTTGTCATCTGACATTCTTTTGCTGTTTTTCCCACTTTGCTTATATGCATTACACATACATTCTGTTTTAAGAATTTACATTTTCATATTATTATTATAGTTTTAATAGTTATATCCTGTCATTTACAGTGTTGTTATTGTTGACTTCAATTAAAATGAAATCTAAAACTATTATATAGCTTACATGAAATATAAATATTAAATGAAAAATAAAAAAACTAAATTAGAAATGTAACCAAAACTAACTGAAATAAAATAAATGATATATATATATATATATATATATATTATGACAAAAATGACAAAAGCACTTAAAAATTACTAAAAGTAAAATTATATATATAATAATATAATTATATATAATTACATGAAAATAATATTCTGTCAATTATAGTGTTGCTATTGTTGACTTAAAACTAAAACTAATTAAAATTAAAAATAATTTCTGTTATTTGAAATAAATATGAAATGAAATAAAATAAAATATAAATATCAGATTAGATTAAAAAAATTTAACTTAATCTTAAAGGTCTTAAAAGATGAAAAATAGAAATATTGCTGTGGTAGACAACTGAAATAAAATAAGCTTAAGCACTAAAATGACTCAAATTAAAACTGAAATAAAAATAAACTAAAGCCATATAGAACTATTAAAAAACTAAATTAATAAAAATGACAAGGGCACTTGACAAAATTACCTGTCATTTATAGTGTTGTTATTGTTAACCAACTAAAACTATTAAAAATACTTTCCTTAAATGAAAACGTTGAAATTAAATAAAATTAAGTTAAATATTAGATTTTAAAAAAGCTTGCAATGAATATTAGAATTGTTTTCTAGGCAACTAATTGAAATAAAATAAGTACTAAATTACTACAACTAAGTAGTAGAAACAAAAAATAATAATAAAGCAAACTTAACAACATTACTACAATTAAAATTTAAAATGACAATATAAAAATAACGCTAATTAAAACTTTAACAAATACTATGATAGTATATAAATAATACTAAAATAACACTGGTCCTTTAGAACAAATCACATTATTTAGATTTGATGCTTCCATCTTCCTCCACTAGAGGGCAGTGTTCACTGCCAGTGAATGGAGGATTTTGAGCAGAGCGAACAACTTTACTTCGATGATCACAGAAGGTGTTCATTCAGTGATTGTATAACTGATCAGTATTGATTTGTAAACGTGTCTAACCTCTGTACAGCGCCCGCAGGCTCTGTTTGGCATTTCGATGCAGCTCTTCCACACACGCGGGCCGAGTCGACGGCAGGAACACATTTCTCTGCAGGTGCCATGGAGCCTGATAATGTCCACTCAGCTTGCTCTCAATGTCCAGATTAGATAACGCTGCAGATAAAAGATCAAATGTTACAAAATAATTATTTGTACATTAGTATCTATACATTTTATCATTCATGTTGACATCTTTAAGACACATTGTTTTTCAGAAAATATATATTCTTAGTCCAGAAAACATATTTTCACCTTATTTAGCATAAACCTCACTAAATTTTGTTAGACTTCTGCTTCATCACACCTCTTGACTATATAAGCTTTACCAAGATAATCTATTAACACAAAGCGAAACAATAGTCTTCAGCTGATATGAGCTGGTTAAGAATGTAGAGTCACTCAGAATGAGACCTTTAACTCAGTAGCCGAAAACTAAACCTGCTCTAATGACTTCCTCAAATGCTCAGAGAAGCTGCAACTGGTGTGAAAAGCAAATAAGCTCAGTGGCTGATCCAATAGCCCAACATTCGCAAAACAATGCTGCAATCTGCCAGCGGCTAAAGCATCACTGTGTGGGAGACAAAAGGTGTTAATGGAGCCAAACACCTGATTCATGATTCATCTATCAATTTTAAAATGAAATTCTAAATATGAAGTAGTCATATATTATTTTAGATTTATTACATAACCAAGATACTTTCATTATGAACCCCTAAAGAGAGGTATAATGCGGATGTGGTTGAAAAATAAATGCATGTGCTTAGTGATCAGATCACACACACACACACACACACACACACACACACACACACACACACACACACACACACACACACACACGTCTCAGTTATGAATAGACATAGAGTGTCTGTGTGTCTGGCTGGGATGCTGCAGGCACTTTTCACTATGTGAATGTGAGTGAATAGACGTACAGCTTCTCTTCCCTTGCCGTCATTAGCACACGGCAGCATTAATGCAGAGCAATCTAGGTCACAAACTCAATAGAGCACAACTCTGTGTCTGTGTTATCTCTGTGTGCACACCTCTAAGACTAACACACACTTCAATATTTTTAACACTTTACAGCAAAGTTATATTTTATGATGCAAATAATAAGGAAATGTTTTCTATGAAGTCTATAAGTGTTCAATAAAGTAAAAAAAATTGCCAATGTGAACATTTACATTTACATGTATGCATTTGCCCGATACTTTTATCCAAAATGAATTAAACTGCATTCTTGCTGGCATCACAAGAATAAAATAAAAAACAGTTATTTTAAAATATTTCACAATATTACTGTTTTGCTGTATTTTTGAATAATAATTTCAAATAAATGCAGCCTTGGTGAGCAGAAGAGACTTCTTTCAAAAACATCAAAAATTAAAAATCTTACTAACTCCAAACTGCAATCAATTTTTTTTTTCAGTATTTAAAAGTTTGTCACCAAATGAATTACATATTATCCCAAAAATGACACATATAAACATGATCCATTGACTGCAGGCCGATCTTCTCCTCACCTCAACAGCATGACATCACCCTAAAAAAAACTATTCCACAGACCTCTTCTGAGATAATGCATCATGGACCTTATTTACGCCAGACGAGTGGCATCTGCTAAGCATTTCCTCCAGTACCTTCTCTGTATCCTCCTGGATTCGTTCAGCTCATATGCCTGTTCTGCACACCACCTCTGCCATCCCATACCCTGCTCTCCTTTGTAGCTTTGCCAGAGTATTCCTCTCATGTTTGCCCTCTGAGGATTTCTCCCATCTGGGACTAGATTCAAAGGTTTAATTTAAGGGGAACTGGAAACGAGCTGGACTGGAGTCCTGGGCCGGCTCTGGGTCTTGATCAAAGGCGCCTGACTGTGAAGATGAACCAGCCCTTAGATGTAATCGCTGCCTTTCACTGTGAAAAATAAAGCTTCCAGAAACAATTTCACATGTCATAAGAGAACCTGTGGTTCAGAGGAAAACCTGCTTCACAGAACCCAGGGGGGCCAAACTAGTCCTCTAGAACCAATACACTGATATGAAGAACGTAACACGTAACATCAAGAACCTTTATTATTCAATATCACTATTAATAATAAAGGTTTCAAATGGGGGGTTTCGCAGCAAAACCATAAAGGAACCATTTTTGGCTCTCCAAAAATCCTTTCAGTGATCAGTTCTTAAAAGAACCATTTTTTTTAATCTCATTGTGAAGCAGATTTAATAATTTTTCCAGTATAAAGAACCTTTTGTGGAATGGAAATGTTCCAAGTCCATGGGTCGGTAAGAATTTTTAATGTTTTCGAAAATCTTTTCTGCTCACCCAGGCTGCAATTATGGCATTACAAATACAGTAAAAACAGTAATATTGTAAAATATTATTATAATTTAAAAGGGTTGTTTTCTACATGAACATATGTTAAAGTGTCATTTATTTCTGTGATGCAAAACTGAATTTTCAGCATCATTACTCCAGTCTTCAGTGTCTCATGATCCTTCAGAAATCATTCTAATATGCTGATTTGCTGCTCAAGAAACATTTATTATTCTCAATGTTGAAAAGTGTGTGCTGCTTCACATTTTTGTGAAAACTGTGATGCATTTTGTTTTCAGGACACTGATGAATAGAAAGTTCAAAAGAGCTGCATTTATTGGAAAGAGATCTTTTGAAACATTATAACCATCTTTGCTGACACTTGATCAATTTAATGCATCCTTGCTGAATCGAAGCAGTAATTTCTTTCAAAAAATAGATCTTACTGATCCCACAGACTGACTGCACATTAGTGTATATGCTGTGTATATTCTGTATTTCTTCCAAATTTGTCACAATCTCGTTCACCATGAAATGAATCAAACTCGACTAGTCTCTGAGAGACCATAAGTCAAGTCAAACAATCTAACCTCTGATCTCAAGCTTCATTATGCCAAGCATCCTTAGTGACTTTGAAAAGATGCTTAGTGACCACTGTTTGAGGGATTAATCTGACAAATGTCCAAGAGCATGTCAGTTTCCACTGTTTAACTCTACTTGCCTATATGGATAAGGTCAAAATTGTAGCTTGTTTTACCGGAATTCACCCTAGTTTGATGTTTATTTACAGTGCCACCCTTCTAATCTTGGGATGAAATGTTCCCATCTATTAGTCTGAGATGACTCTATGAGGATTCTGAACGGTAAGTAGGGTGAAGGCACTCAGTGTGGTGGAAAACATGGGGTTTCCAAGTATGCTCCCCAAGGGAAGACCCCTGTTGAGGAATGAACTAATGCCCTTCTTGGCTGTCTTTATCCAGACAGACATGGCTCCAGTCAACCATGGTGATCATGGTAGCATCTCAGTATCTCAGCCCTTGAGCCCCTGCAGCTCATCAACTCACCATCCACATGAAAACCATCACTGATGTCCTAGACAGCACCATGCAACTAAACACCAAAAATCATACCATGCAACTAAACACCATGCAATGCCAAATTTTTTATCAATGTCTGAGAAAATCTTTTATACCTGAATGAATTGTTTAGTGGGTAGCACATGTAGTCCAGGCATGCTAAAC